AAAAACGCTCCTCCACATTTCCTTCTCACATCACACTGCTCTTCCTTTGATGGTCTTCATTGTTCCAAATTGGGTTTCTGCTTTCTTCGAAGTTTTACTTTAAAAGCCAAGGTCCCGTGGTAGCAGATCTTTCCCTCACCCCTCTTGCCTGCCTTTCTTCCCTGATTTTCAGTGCAGAATGCAAATAGCTTGTCAGGTGGTATTATGGTTAAAGTTAAAAACAAAAGAAAAAACCTGTCACGCTGCTAATGTTGTTTTCTTGTTATTATACCTTCTGGTGTGACAGATCCACAGGGTAACTAACACTGTCTGGATCGCTTCCTTTTACTGCTGATTTATTCTAACAGGTTATTTGCTGCCTTTTGCCTAGGACAGCTGGAGAGATGTGCAACATACTCATTCTCTCTTCTTTATCCTTGTTGAAGCAATTGTGTTTCTATTCTATTTTGGTAGGGTCTCCTGAGCAGTTCTTGAAACTTCGATGGTCACCACCAAGCTGCCTGAACACCTCTGGCTCACCTTGAATGAGATTCAAGCTCACACCCTGCTCCATGCTTAGTGTAAGTTTCAGCACTATAATAATACAACAGAGAAAAAAAGAAAGTCTATTTTCAAACACTCTTTTAAATAAACAAGGGCTCCTCTCTACCCCTCACCTCAGCCCACATTCACAAACAAGCAACAGATGCCATTGATTCACTTTGTACCTGAGCTTTTGATCTGGCTGCTCTTTGATTTTCGCTGCTCACTTTTGACAAGGAAGGGAATAAGAGCCCAATTTCTGTGACATTAATAGAAGCTTTTCTGCTGCGGTAATTTATTTGTGTTTTGCTAATAACTTTGTGCTGATCCGTGTAGATTCTTGGTGACAGACAGGGAGAACAGGACAGTGTGACAGAACATGCTTGCCATCAGCATGAAAGGTTTGCCATGAGCCTATGGTGCAGTGGGACTGAGCAGAGCACCTGGGTTCAGGCTGGGAGAAAGCATAGCAGGCATCACCTCCACAGCTGAAATGAGAAGACTTCTTTTAACATCTTTCAGGCAGCTGGTAAGAACAAGGGAAAACCATCTCTAAGAGGCTTATGTACAAAACAGTACCAAAAAGAGCAAGCCAAAGACACTGGAGGCGGGCGAAAGGGATGTCAGTGTGTTAGCAGCTCCACCCTGTTGGTGCTCCTCTGGGATACTGTTGGAGCGTGAGGCAGATAAAAGCCTCTGCAGCCATTTTAATGCAAATCAATAGTGTAAGACACAACTCGGTACTTCATGTTCCCCGTTCCCACAAGGACACTCTCTAAGTGTGGCCTGGGAGCTCCCCGCTTCCTCGCACAGCAGCAGCTCTGCCCTCTCAGCACCACAAAGGATGAGGGGCAGGGAAGGGCTCAGGGCACCCAGCTGAGCCCTTCCCTGCACCCAGCACACCAGCAGCAAAACAGAAGCAGCTCTGTAGCACCAGGATCAGGCCATGTGTCCTTACTCATGCCTGCCATCACTTGGGGTCCTCCATCCCAGCAGCACCAGCACAGCTGGGGGCTTTTCTGCCAGCTTGCACAATGAAAACAACATCTGAATAGCTGAAATATGTTCCCAGTGGGTACAGTGGAAAGACACCGTCATGTAGGCATCAGAAAACATGCACCATGCTGCCCGAGCTCCGTCCCCACTGCAGTGAGGCCGGTGTGCTCCTGTTGGCCATCAGCGGCCCTGTGGCATGGACTGCAACATAAGAGCAGCAGGGCCCTGGCTGGCGGGAGGTGTGACAAATCGTTGGCAGAGCACAGAACCAATTTTAAACCACAGAAAGCAATTTTAAAATCAGCAACAGGCAGCTGACAGCTCTGAAAAGAGCCTCCTCGTCATTCGTGAGTCTTTACGATGCTCTGCGAGGGCGGACGCGGGAGTTTGGGAGCAGCGGCGCGATGGGAACGTTCTGTTCAGCAGGAGGATGTGAGACAAGCCCCAAAGCTTATCACTGATCCAAACATTGTTCGGGTGTATGCGACCGCTGTGGTTTTCCTTCCAGCTGGGAAAACTTTGTATAGTTACTCATGTAAAACTAAGCTTGATGTGACATTAAGATTCTAGAAAATTATGCCTGGAGATGAGGAAATAAAGTGAACTCTGAGTAGCGACTAAGCCTGTATTGATTTTTATGCGTACGTTTCTCTGTCATTGTTACCGAGCTGGTGACACTGTGAAGGGCACAATTATTTATGTTCCATCAAATTAGTAAGTAATTCAAATCCCTGACGAAATTTCAAGCAAAAAATGCTTTCACTTTTCACAGAAAGTCCTTCTGACACTTAAATTGTCCTCTTACCCCTGGAAGGGCACTTGAAAATACAGAATTTGATAGAAAAACTGAAAAGGTATGCAAGAAAAATGAAAAATGAGATCAACCTCGTCGGTAGCATCCTTATATGTAACTGAGGGTTATCTCAGCTGCTGCCATCACAGGGACAGAGTGGAGTTCATGGTGCAGAGTCCACATCTAGGGACAATCCTCCTAGCAGGGTACTTGGAGAAATGATGATTTGAGCTCGTACAATTTCCTTAATGGCTGTGACACTCCTTAAAGGAGTGACTGTCCAGCCTAAGTCAGCAAGGATGCTCTACTGGTCGAGAGGGAGAGAGGTGGAAAAGGAAGAAAATCTTACTTAAATAGGCATGTTGAAATAAGATACAAGGCAGAAGCAATGCCAAAGGGCTGATGTTCTCTCCAGCCAGAGGACATATAAACATGGTCTAATTTAAAAGCAAGGCAGTCATCTCAACATTCATAGGTATTCCTGACTTCCACAGTATAGGGATGTGCCTCTGTATTGTGATGGCCACCTAAAAATAATGTTGGAATGGAAATACTATAAAATACAAATACAAACTTAAGGGTTCCACTTTGCCTTTCTCCAACTTCTTTTGTTGAATCCTTGCTTGATTCAACCACTCTGTTCAAAGCCCACTGTTTTCCAATGTATTCTGGCCAAAAACTCCATTGGGTCCCAGTTGAATGCAGCCAAATGGAATACAGGAAGAGTCTTAAATTCATAGAAATGTGCTCACATAAGATATAAGTAAATTACTTCAAGAAAAGAAATAAGGTGTCTGGAATAAAAGCTCACATCTTTACTATTACTCTAGATAATCACATTAAAAGAGAGATACGACATAAGAATTTTTTACTGAAGCATTCCATCAATATTTAAGTTAAAGAGAACAATTTCTTTGAGCAAGTACTTTGTAAGAGGAAATTCCCTTACTTTACCCACAAAAAGAGACTTAAAAAAGGCCTTTAATCAGAGCCTTTGAAACAGGAAGGAAAGCAAGATTTTCCTCTTTTTCTTCCTTAATGTTTTTAAAAGGAAACTAGCTATTGAAATATATCAAGCAACTTCCTTTTCTTGAAACACTATTACCCTTCTGTGCATTGTGAGCAAAACAAAAATAAGCGCCTTTTATCCACCCAGATTTTGCTGTGGGTAGGCAGCGCCAAGACGAACTAATCATTATGTGGTCAGGGAATCACAGCCTTGGGACTGGGTCGCATCTTACCCAAACAATTATTTTTGGGAATGAAATAATAGTTTTAGGAGGCATTGGTGTGATTATCTGCCACTGGCTATTTCAGCTGCAGTGGTGAGGAGCAAGAGACAGAGCACAAAAAATGACGAGATGGTTAAAAGAGCGCAGAGCTTGTGGAGGGTAGAGCGGCTTGAAATAGAAGGCAGGCGGCTATGAAGAGATCTTGGTCCAGTTAAATGGCAGCTTGACTTCAATGTCAAAATATACAGCCACTGAAAAATCTTTGCAGTCCAACTGGTCCTTATTTCACTTCTGCCAGCTGCTTCGTTACCCACTGGGTGCTGGATAATAACATCAATTTTTGTGGAAAGCAACAGTTTTTTGGTCATGCGTGTTGTCTTTATTTCACAGCAGAACACTGCAATTTATGAACAGGAAGCCCATAGAAAATTCTCAGAATGAAGGACTGTATAGTACGTTACCATTTAACCCCTGTTTTTCACTTCCACTTGGATTTATTAGTGTTCCCAGTTGCAATGTTAAATGATTCTGAAAGTAGAGCAATTAATCCAAAATCCTATTTGTTTTAATCTTACACTGTCAACTAGTTTTAGGTTTGCAGTCAAGAGAAAAAAATGTTTGTTAAGCTCTAGAGCACTAGCTAATGTCTAAAGACAATGCTCTGAAAAGGTGCAAAGATGTTTTATCGCAGCACTATAGATGGGACGGAGATTTATTAGAGTACCTAATGCCATTCCAGCAGACGCCTTTTGAATTATAATGAGATTATTAAAACTTTACAAATCATTATATTAAAACCTGACAAGAGTACTTTTGGAACTGGAGCATCTTGATGTCGTTGCTAATGATGCATTACCTGTGATAAGGCTTCAGTAGAATTACTAAGTAAAAACTGGTTATAAAAGTATAAAATATATTAATATTTATTTCAGTACCTGCTATAAGTTCAAGGATAATAGGTTTATATGCATCAGAACAGTCGAATGATCGTATTTATGTCAGCATTAGAAAGATGTTCATCTGCTGCAAAGTTTAATTAATTTTCACAGATAGTTAATTTTCTGTTTCATTATCAGCTCCCTGAATTTGAAAGACAAATAATTTATAAACAAATAGAAACTTCAGAGAGGAGTATTTTTAGAGCAAACAGAAGATAAATAGCAGGAATGAAGCACTAATACAAATGATATATTGTAGTGGGTTTTGATTGATAACTTATGCATTCTAGAGCACTGACTGAAAAGAAACAAATTGTTTACTGTTAGCCCCAACCCATTTTCAGGTAACAAATGGCTCTGGTCTTTACCAATCAAATAATGGCTGTAATGCCCTTAGACATCATGAATGAGGAATGTGCAGGCTCACTGTGTCCTCCTATGGGTGACCTGATCCTTTAAGGACAACATTCCTACCCTTTTCCCCTTCCCAGCAAGAAGAAAGTTTAAGCAGCTACTTACCATGATGTACGACGCCCTTCAACCCATGGATAATGGGATCCAGTGCAGAATTGTCCCTCTGACTGACCTACACGCAAAGGATACAGGATTGGTTACATCTATTCTGGCATCAGACAGAACAGTCTCAGCTTAATCTTCTAAAGAGAGGAATAAAAGATGTTATCTAACAAGCTGCTTAGTTCTCACATTTACAATGGCTCCTCACCAAATGCCAAAGGTACATGGTGTAATAAAATGAAGCAAGGAAGGTTAAACCAGAAGAAGGCATTTTCTGCATTCATTAAAACATTAGCAACATTATTACCCAGCAAAGCCTAAAAACAGAGATATAGCGTCTCTCTGGCTACTTCTCCTTTCCTAGAGGAAAACTGCTGTGATAAAGAGAACTTATCCAGAAAGAGTCCACCAGTACAGGAACAAATCTGATGCCACTGCTGCCATTGGTAATGCTGGACCACTCTCAGCCATAAGAGCTGGGCTCTGACATCATGTTACTACTCATCAACTTGCAACACTGCTGAGGCATTTACATCCAGTAATGCATTTTTAAAAATTTTTGTAACTTTTTGCATCTCCAAAGGCTTTGAAGGAATAACCTACAATTTCTGTGAACGTGTCCCATTACCTAAAGTACTTGCTAATTTACTTCTGCAAAGTAAATTCTGTGTGTACCACATTCATGTAGTGCTTCTTTTTTCTTTCTTTTTTTTTTTTCTCCCAGTCAGTATCAAAAACCTGAGCACCACTGACCATTTTGGGGCAGATTGCTCCAAATGAGGAAACAAATCAACTGCAAAAGGGCTCCTGTGCTTTCCTGCTTGCCCGTGATCTCACATCGTGAGGAAAAAGAGAGATTAACAACTTTCTGTCTGGATTTTAACATGTGAAGGAAGGAGTGGAGCTAGAAGAAGAAAACCACGAGAGGAACTTGTGCCCAGCAGGGAACGTGTGCTCTGTGTGAAGCACAGAATTGGCTTGGAGCATGGCTGCAGGACGAGGGCATCGCTGACTGCAGCACATACCAAACTGTGTTACTGTAGAAAGTGTGAGTATGGTTTTTCCCATCCTTTTCCCTCACTGCTAATAATAAATCCTAGAAGTGTCATTATCTTTTTAGCCAACTGCATTAAGAAGAAGAAACAAGCAAAAAGAGCCTCAAAATCAACACACTCCAACTTTCTTCTGTTTATTTGGCCTTTGAAATACTTTGCCATGCTCACGACACATTCCTGTGTTCTTGTTTCCAGACAAAAAGGTTTGTTTTCTTTTGGTGTTTTAAATGGAAATTGAAGATCCTTTTCTCATCACAGTACTTCAGTACTCACAACGATAAGGTAGGGCAAGATCTGCAATAAAATTATGAAAGCAGCAGCAGCAGCTTTGAAATATATACAGCTTAGATGTTACTGGCAATAATATTATTAGGCCTGAAGGCTGTAAGCTCTTTGAAGCATGAACTTTTATATGCCCAAAGGGGTGCTCTGTACACTTTGGACTCTGTATAAATAATAATCACAGTACACTGAACCCAATGACCCACTTTGTAGGTTCTGTCTGGCTTCTGGCAAATCAACAGTAAACACTTTAAAAATGCAGAGCTGTTGGAAGACACGTTCTTGCATCTTTTCCATTTATTCAGGTTTCTCCAAGCCACAGCCACCACTAAAAAAGAAAAAGCAGCAGTGGATCTGAACAATGCTTCATTTATCGCTGTTTAACTGTACGTTGTACAGAGTTTTATTTTGTTTGCTTTGTTTTTATCTCTCGTGACAGCTACCATCAGTTCAAAGAAAGCAAATGGATGGAAAGAAACCTAAAGGTTAAAATCCTTCCTTTTGGGATTTTCTGTCAAAGTAGATCAATTCGTAACCTCAGCCTTGGCAGCACCCCTTTAATCTGCTGAGGTGGTATGCCTGTATAGATCTAAGCAATCTTTTGGATAACATACTCTGCAAATATGTTGTGCTCTCCAATAGCATGAAATCGAGAGTCATGTTACTTCTCTGGGGGTGGGAAAGCATATGCTGCATGCATCTGCAATCATGTTTTCTCTGAGGGGATGGGATCTCACGTTTCTCTAAGACTCCCAGGCAAACAAGTGACACTTGGGGAGACTGCAGTTCAGACTTGCTTGGGATATAATCTTGTTTTCCTTGCAGATGCTTTTCTCCCTTTTTTAACCTTTACTTACACACTGCTCTCCCACATCTCACTACACCCTCTGCAGGATCTTGGCAAGGCCAGTAGAAAAGCGCTAAAAAGTTTTCTTATTTTGTGAAATGGCTCAGGCTTCAGAGCAAAACTTTTCTTACATCTTTTTTTTTTCCTTAAGATCTGAAAAGAACATTCCTTGGATTTCCTTCCCTTTTTCTTTTCTTTCTTTTTTCTTTTTTTCTTTCTTTTTTTTTTTTTTTGCTTGCATTTTTCTGCATCTTTTCTTCTCTCTGTGTTCATAGAAAAAAAAAGCAGGTTTTTGAAACCCAGAATGTCAAATTCTATCCCAAGTGCTGTATGACTGTGGTTTAACTGGCCTGGAGCTACCATGCTGGTTGAGATCAGAGATTCACCCCATACAAGAATCCTGTCTCTGAAAACAGCTGAGACATAAAAGAAAGGCGAGGAAAAAAAAAAGGAGGGAAAAAAGAACAAATCTACCACCAACATTTTTTTTTCACATGTAATGTGTTAAGACAGTTTATTTTTTATTATCTTACGAATAGATTCTAAAGGACTGCATGGATTAATGGGACAGATGGAAAACCATCCTGAAATTGCCCTAAGATACCCCCAGCACCACTACCTCTAATGTTGTTTCCTGAAGATGATGCATTCATTCAAAAGTAACACTCTATAGGTCTGCAGCAAACAGAATAAATAACAAATTGCTTGCATCATTTGTAATTGAACAATGCCTGTAATCCTCTTCAGCAGAAATAAATAGGTAACTCTCATGCTAAGTGCAAGGGAAAAATAAACACGGGAATATCATTAAGCAGTTTCCTGTGCTAAGACAGCTCTCCCCACAGGGTGAATATGGGATGAAGATGACATGAGGAAGCCCAGACTCCTTGTTTATCATACCCTTTGGGTGACTCCAATACCTGGTGCACGTGTCATTCTGGTAGAGTGAACAGCAATTGTTAATGCAATGAACAAAACAAGCACTTGCAATGTAGGAAAAGGTCGTGTACAAGTGACCCCATTCTGCAGTCATAAAGCAGAGATGTTCTTCAAGCAAAGGCATGGTGGAAATCATTACCCTAGACAGGCTGCATTTACTTACAGCTCCTGCACCTAATGCAGGCACTGAAAAATGATTCATTCTTCAGTTAACAACAAGGTTGATCAGTCACGAACTCTACTGACAAGAGCGTTAACACCTTTCATCAGCACAACCTGCTGTCCCCTGCTTGGTGCCCCAAGAGCTGCCAGGGCAGGAGCAGGAGCAGGCCATGAGCTGGGCACTTCCTAAGGATAATGAAAGTTCCAGGGAATGCTCAGAGCAAGAGTGTGACAAGAGGACGGGCAGGGGACTGGTGATGCTAGCATGGTGCCAAGCCACAGCATGTGGGAACAGACTTTGCAGGGCAAGATACAACCATAGAAAGCCCCACAGTACTGAGTTCACTGTGAGTTAAAAAGCAAATTAAAAAAACAACTCCAACAACAAACATATGGGAAAAAAAAAAAACAAACACAAAACAAAGAAGCAACAAAGGCAGTTCACATTCTCTATCACTCTTGCCCTGTAAAGTAGCTGATGCTCACCACTCATCTGATGATGTTATGGAACAAACCCAGAATGTATTGAAGTCTCTGATTTCACAAAAAACCTGTGACCACGTGCTATACAATTTGAAACGTGGGCTAAATTTGTAAGTGAACCACAGCCTGTCTTAATGCTGGGAGCAGTTCAATCAAGCAGGAAAAAGAATGTCAGGCAAAAATTTGGAGTTTACAATGACTTAAGGAAAAATAATAAATTAAAAAAAAAATCAGAGGAACCTCCAACTGAGCACTGAGGCAGTTAAAAGGCCACACAGCTACCCCAGATCTAGCTTTACAGACCTCTGTCCAGTGGGAAAGACTCCAACTCCCCCCATTCCCTATTACTTTGGGAGCCTCTCCAAAACCAGGTTACCCTCCATCTAAGCAATGCACTGTAGGCCCAGGGAACAAAGCTCTCTAATGATCACTGGTACCTTGCAAAAAAGTAGGTGAATACTAATAGCTTGAACAGCTCAGAAGTCAGAAATACACTTTTCTGTTAAACATATACTTAAATGGGTCTACTGGATTGAAGAAAAGAGTGTGAGGGAAAAAAGAACAGAAGAAAAATCTTCCAGTCTGAGTGATACGAAATACAAATTTCTCTCTCATTTCCAACGAAAAAAAAATCTGGCATTTACACTTATTAAACCGTCATAAATTTGCAGCAACTGCTTTCAAGCTCATTAAATGGGCTCACAGACAGTACTGTAAAGCATCTCAAAGCAAAGGAGAACGCCGTAGCTGGCTGTATTGAAAGGTGAAATGACATGCATTTTGTGTGAGTCAGGGGAAAATGAATGGCAACAATTTTGTGATACACTACCTGAGCCTTTCCCCTCAGAATAGTGATATAATTTACTTTTCTCTCCCACTGCAACATTTGGCCCTTGACTTGGAAACTAAATCTTCAATCTATCAAGCCTTACCCATCTGCTAAGTAAAATGGCCAAGACGATCTGCATGCCTTGAATTCGATATAGCCAGCTGCTCCCAGAGCGCGGTGGCATTAACATCCAGAGACCATCCTCTGGTGCTGTAAAGGATGGCGTCTGCCAAGGATGAATGACTGCATACTTAACAGTGGCAGCTGAAGCCAGTGACAATGGCTGACACGGAGAGATGCCAATGTGTCAAATTCTACTTTCAATTACAATGGTGAGAGTCAGGGGTAATATTCCCCCTCACCGCATGCCTTCAGCTCCCATTCAGCTCATGGTAAAGATGCACAGTTCACCAGCCAAATACTCGAGTCTCTGAACACGCTGTACAAACAGCTAAGAAAAAAAACCCAAAACC